TATACACCAGATACATTGGCAACATTTTCTTCCTTTGGACTCATGGTGAAGAATCACTGAAACAAGTTCATAGCGATATTAGCAAGTTTCATCCCATCATCAGACTTACCATAGACTACTCTTTAGAATCAGTCTCATCCTTGGACATACGCATCTCCATCAGGGAGGGACATCTTTGTACCTCCCTCTACCGTAAGCCCACAGATAACCTCACGATGCTGCACTTCTCTAGCTTCCACCCTAAACATATTAAAAGGGCCAATCCTCTACGGACAAGCCCTGCACATGTATAGGATCTGCTCAGAAGAAGTGGAATGCGATGGACACCTGAAGGTGTTGAAGGACGCCCTCATAGGAACGGATGCAATGCTCAACTCATCAATCGCCAGTTTCCACATGCCACAGCGAAAAACCGTAATGAACTCCTCAGAAGATGGACATGGGATATGTCCGATAGAGTACCCTCATTGTTTAGTACTTCCCGGGAGTGGAGAAACTACGCCATGTTCTCCGCAGCCTTCAATACATTATCGATGACAACGAGCACCTCGCCAAGATCTTCCCCACACCTCCACTTTTTGCTTTCAAACAACCGCCAAACCTTCAAGGACAGTCATTCGAAGCAAATTACCCAGCCTTCAGGACAACATTGACCACAACACACAACCCTGTCATGGCAACCTCTGCAAGATCAGATCATCAACATGGACACTACCATCACACATGGGAACACGACCCACCAAGTGCACTCATGTGACTCGGCCAGCGTTGTCTTATCTCATACGCTGCAGGCAAGGTTGCCCCAGGGCATGATATATTGACGAAACTAGGCAGATGCTATGACAACGGATAAATGGACACCATGCAACAATCACTAGTCAAGGGTGTTCCCTCCCAGTGGGGGAGCACTTCAGCAGTCAAGGACATTCGGCCTTGGATCTTTGGGGTAAACGTCTTCCAGGGCAGACTTCAGGGTACATAACAACACAGAGTTGCTGAGCAGAGGCTGATAGCCAAGTTCCGTACCCATGAGGATGGCCTCAACCATGATCTTGGGTTCATGTCGCACTACGGTGACCCCACCACACTCTCTCACTCACACACATAAATCTATGGGGTGAATTTGCATTTGCAGCTTCGTATCTCATAGAATCCTCCAGTGTGGAAATAGGCCCTTCGGCCCAACAAGTCCACACCGACCCTCAGAGCACCTCACCCAGATCCATCCCCCTATAACCCACCTAATCTACACCTCCCTGAATACTTGGGCAATTTAGCATGGTCAATCCACCTAGCCTGCACGTCTTTGGACTGTAGGAGGAAACCGCAGCACCCGGAGGAAACCCACACTAACACGGGGAGAATGTGCAAACTCCACACAGACAGTTGCCCGAGGGTGGAATCGAACCCGGGTTCCTGGCACTGTGAGGCAGCAGTGCTAACCACTGACATTGTATTTTGTTCAAAAAGCACACAATTTATAAACAAAGCCAGTCAATGGAGCATTTTATAAATTCCTGCTTTGGAAATAAAACCGGTCTGACTCCAGGGTAAAACACAGACAGATTCTAAACAAGGCCTCACATCTAAAATGCATTGTCTGACCTGAGATTTCACCTCTTGTATACGCTATTAAAACCTTTAGTTATCTCGGGGCAGTGACGTGAAAGAAATTCTGGGATTTGCATTTTAATCACTCAAAACCTGAATCTCCTTTCTAACTGATTAAAGATTTTACAGGAGGGAGTCAGCTAGCCATTTTAAGTTCATTCAATACATTTGCATCGTTGTATGATCATTTAATCTCTTACTCGTAAATTCTGTGTCTTGATACCTCATCTTTCACTACCCCTGAGGAAGGAGCAACTCTCTGAAAGCTAGTGTTTTCAAATAAACCTGCTGGACTATAACTTGGTGTTGTGTGATTTTTGACCTTGTCCAACGCAGTCCAATACCAGCACCTCCACATTATAGAAAAAGGAGATAACCTATTTAGTGCCTAAGAGAACAATTTGACATTTTAGGTTGATTTATGATAAAATGGAGAGGCTAATTCTGATTACCCTGAAAAGTTTTAAACCTGGAAGTGCACAACTGAACTTCCATTTGAATTATCATGTATGTAATTACCAGCTGATCAGGTTCTCCACAGTGAATTGGAAAAATAATCATTGGAAGCATTCAATTCTATTAAGTCACCAAGTTTTTGTAGCTATATTTTAGTTTTCAAAATAAATTATGTAATAAAATCAATCGATCAAGCCATCTTAAGCAGGGATGATAGCCATGGTGAAAATTAGTTCTCTGACAGAGGATTTATCGAGAACTATCAATGTTCACTCACTGAGTGATGTGAGCAGAAGAGTGAAATAGTTCAAGGACATCAAGTTACTACCTTTAACTAGGTTTATAATTCTCAGATCGAATCACATTGTCTGAATACTGTTGTTTAATTTTAGGTATGTTAAACGACTTCCTTTCCCATATGCTTTATTTTGTTCAGAATTATGCTACTTATATCTTCTTTTCACTTGTAGCACAGTAAAGAGCTGATGCCACTGCTGCTGATCAGGGATTTACTTGAAGAAAAAGGATTATTATTTTGAACAGCCAAATGGACAACAAATTTGTCAAATAAAGAATACAAATAAACATTTTACAAAAATCACTCCCATCATCTTTTGGATGTTTGAATTTTCATTTTCAGTGTGGGTTTGAGATATTGCAACTGTTCTATTTCCGAATACTTAAATTCCATAATGAGCCGGGAAATTTCATCTCGCCATTGTCTTGGGAGAAAGTGTCTTGGTACACCTGATTTTCATTCCAGGGAGGCATGTGCATAATGGCATCTGAGGTATTGAGAGGGACTGCTCAGAGTCTTTTCAACCACCCACCTCAGTTATCTTGGGAGTTTGTCCCTGTTGTCTCCTTAAATTTTATGCCTTTTATCCTTTAGCCCTCATACCCCATGCCACATGCCAAGTCATGTCAACCCATATACACTCAACACCATCTTCAGCCCTTCAAATCTACATGCCAACTGACTTCATATCCAAGTTAATATTGAAATAGATCACATTAAATTTAAGATAGAATAATTCATATCTACTGAGCTTGATTCATAATTGTTCTGATAATTAAAATAACTCTGTTGACATTTCCCAAAGGGCTATCATTATGTCATTATTAATACTTGGCTGCCTACCACAACCTGTAACTATCTCAGCAGTGTATCATTCACAACTTGATTGACAGTCAGATTGTTGATTGACAGTTCAAAGAAATTGCTAAAGAATTAGCTGTGTAATGAAGCAAGCCTGCTTGTTTTTATAGGAAAATAAGTACTTGAGGGGAAAACATTTTGAATTTTTTTATGAATGGAAATTTTCTTTAACTATAGATAGTAAAGGCTGTGGTAAATAGACTCCTATATATAATTTCAATAAGGCTCTTGGTGTCTATCCATGGCTATTATGAGGTGTGTTGGTTAAATATGAAATGATTCTTTAACATCAATATTTCAGTGGATTGGGGAATGTATCAAATTGTTCAAATGCAACTCACATTAATTCTGGATCAGGATTGATCAGGATTTAATCAATCAATTATAACCTGTTTAAAAACCTAACATCTGAATGATTAAATGAGCCAGCATTTATTGCCCGTTCCTAGTCACCCTTGAGAAGATGGCAGTCTTCTTGAACCACTGTAGTCCATTGGCAGAATGGAATAAGAAAAGCAAGTTTAACCAATAGACTAAATCTGGTTGCTTTTTGTCACACATGTAATAACAATATTACAACCCAATCTTAGGTTCACACCACCAACTCTTGTATTTAAGCATTTCAACACATATCCCCACATTTGCAATCCCAAGTGCCCATGTATAAGAATTGGCTAACAGTCAGAGCATCTGCAATTGCATTTAAGAAATATACTTTTTTTTATTTTTCTCTGAATTATGGTGTGAACCATCGTGCTATGATCCAGAATCTGAAACTTTCATCAAGGTTTTAGGTCAGAAATGGAACATTGTCCCTAAACATTCCGGCTCACCTTACATGTTGAAATTTACCATCACAAATTTCATTTGCAAATGGAAAATCCTACATTACAATCTGACCGGTGTGAAGAAAAATCATTGGACTTGAAACGTTCAATCTATCTCTGCAGATGCTGCCAGACCTACCCAATTTCTCCAGCACCTTCTGTTCTTATTTCCAAAATCTAGCATTCATAGTATGTTGCTTTTACTGTCCTACATTATTCCCTGATGCCTGAAATTGAGCAAAAACCTCTGAGAATATTCACGTTTCCCTGATATTCAAATCCAGCACATCAATGGTAGTGCAAGGTTAACATTCTGTCTGAGTTGCACTGTTTCTTCACTAGCTGCACTTCAGTCCCTCCACCAAGACACTCGGTACAGAAAGTCGTGGACAGGAGTGAATTTGTTACGTCCTTACGAAAAACGCACAATACTGGTTTGACCTCTGTTTGCTTCAAGAAGGATCTTTCAATCTGTTTGGTAAAGTTAATAAACAACGGTTGCCTACTTTATATGGTTGTTGTAGGCAGCTTTCAGCTAATTAATACTGCAAGTTGCAATGTAAAAATCACAAACTGTAGAGTGTAATGGACGTCAAACGCCGTTCCTTCAATGACCGCAAAATCTGAGTAATTGCGTTTGTTGAAATTATAGAGTAATGGAAACAGGTTTAAACTTTTTATTATGATAACAGGAACGATCAACACGCATAGATTTGGCATCCTTAAAACAATGATAAAACATCTGGGCGGTAAAGATTTTGAATGAATCTTGATCATAATAGTTGCCAAACACATTTCTTTCATTGATAATGTCCTGACTCATCCTCGTTGTATTATTCCATTTGATATGTTGAAATAACATGTTTGTCAATTATAATGTCAACAGCCTGCCGTAATCTGCGGCCTCTTGACCTTCCAGTTACCCTGGTTCAATAAATAGCACTTACTTTGTAACATACTGTATGCTGAGTCCGCATTATTTATATCTGGAACTGGCGAATGTACAAATCAATCTCAACCTTTCTGTTCTGATACAGCGTCCGTTTTATTTGTTTCGAAAGTTTCAAACGTCATAAAGATACAAAACATCCTGATAAATAAAATAAGATTGCAGAAACAATAACTCTTTGAACACTTCAATTCACATATTTCAAAATTGGTCATTGCAAAAATGACTGTTTTGCTTTCTGACCTTTAACAGTTCCGGGGAACGGGTTTGCTTTGCTTCAACGCGGCGTTTGTTTCCATGATTGCGAAACGATAGTGCCGCCTATCGTCCCGGAGGACTCCGACCCGCAGCGCCCCCGTCCGTCCCGGAGGACTCCGACCCGCAGCGCATCCGTCCGTCCCGGAGCAGCGCCCCCGTCCGCCCTGGAGGACTCCGCCTGCCCTCGTCTGTTGTGGCGGTTTCGCGCACTGTCCGACAGGACTCGGCGCCTCCCACCGTGCCTAACGGAAGCCGCCATGTGGGGCTCGATTACTCCTGGCAGGGAGGATAAGCCGATGACGGTAAGCGGAATCGGCTTGGCGTCGTGTTGGAGCAGACTGATGGTGTGCGAGGAGTTTTTGACCGTGTGACAGCGCCCGGTGGTGAGGGTTGGGGGTGCAGTGAGTGTTGCTTGTTGCCAGGTAACGGAGCGATGGCACATTGCGTTTACCCGAAGCCGGGCCTGGCCTGTGAAGCGGCACAGTCAGCCTGTGATAAACACGCCCGGCTCCTGCTGGCTCAGATAAACCGCATGAGGGGCCGGGCTGAATTCTGTGATGTTCAGCTGCAGGTGGAAGAGCAGCTTTTCAGCGTCCACAAGCTGATATTGGCCGCCAGCAGCCCGTACTTCGCAGTGCTGTTCGCAGGAGGGATGCAGGAAGCCAGCAAAAGTCTCATCCAGATCCATGGTATTGAGGCTGAAACTTTCCGCTTACTCCTGGAGTTTATTTACACAGGTAAATCCGCGGGAGTGTTGTTATTTTTTAAAAAGCCAAACAAATCTCGATGGGAATAAACTACTAGGCGGAGGCAGGAAGAAACTGCAATTGAGTAAAAACCAAAAGAACTGCGGATGCTGTAAATCAGGAACAAAAGCAAAGTTGCTGGAAAAGCTCAGCAGGCCTGGCAGCATCTGTGAAGGAAAATATCAGAGTTAAGGTTTGTGGTCCTCAGACCCTTCCCGAGTATCTGTAAGAGGACGTTCAGGTCTAAAGTGAAGTCCTTCTTTCAAACTTTTGCAGTAACTGGAAGAAGGTAGGTATCTCGTCACCAAATCACCTTTTATTTACACGTGCATAGTACATGACACTGACCCAACTGGCACAGAGCCAGCTCTGACTGAGCAGAATCCCTGACACTCCTGTTTATATCTTTCAGCCAGGACTCCCTGACTGGACTTGTTCTTTTTCCTGTAGCTTCTCCTGTGACGTTTTTGCACTGGGTCTAATTCCTTGGACTCTGCTCGGATACAGGCGACATGTACCAGACCATTGCCTGCCTCTTGCACCCGGAACATCTCAGCCGAAAGTTATCTTCATTCAGTAATGGTGACAACACTGCAACATCTGCCATATGCATCTCGTTCTGAGAGATTTTTTTGACATTAGGTAGAGGGAGAACACAACGGTTCTGACAGCCTTGTGGGATGTTCTGTAGGGCCTTGTATGTTTTGCTGCTGCCCTGTCGCAAGGTTGTAGCTTTCATGTGGTCCACATGCTTGTTCAGGACCTCTTCTCCTACCCAAACGTTGTATATAATGGGACCTGATTTCGCGTCAGCTGTGCCCGTTAGCCATATAGGGCCATTCCCATGGTTTCGACGTCAAACTTCGTCCCCTGAAGTGAACTGCCTCTGTTGCTTAGAGGAGTCTTGTGTCTGGCGTTTGTGTCCCTGATTCTGATACACCAATCCCATCCCAACTCCACCCCCTCCCCCCAAAGGTCTGGGAAGATCAGGTTTAACCTGGTGTGGTGTCTTCGTCCCATTAGAAACTCTGGTGCAGCTATCCCTTTAGTTGCATTATGGGTGATCCTGTAATCAAACAGGAACTGAGACAGTTTGGTGTCGAGCGAAGTCGTAGGCTGTTTCTTTAAGCCTGCTTTCAAAGTTTGGAATGTTCTTTCTGCCCAACCATTGGATGATGGATGGTATGGAGCTGTCCTTGCATGCTGAATGCCATTCGACTTTAGGAAATACTCAAATTCCCTGCTGGCAAATGATGACCTGTTGTCCATGTATTGCAAAAGATGATTACAATCTATCAGTTGTCATCCCCATTTTTGACGAATGAATTCTATGCACATTCAACCACTTTGAATGGCCATCCACAGTGACTAAAAACATAGAGCCCATGAAAGGTCTGACATAGTTGACATGAAACTGAGTCCAGGGTTTACACAGCCATTCCCATGAATGTTGGGGAGCTACTAGCGGCAATTTTTGTCCTTGACTCTCTTGGCAGTGCCCCACCAAAGCAGTTATGCCTGTATCCAATCCTGGCCACCAGACATAACTTCTGTTGGACTTCACAATCGGTACGACTAGTGCTGTCCATTCTGTAAACCATACTAGTGTGGTGATTTCTTCACTTTCCAGCCTCCTGATTTCTGCCTCTACTTTTGCACATAAGGCAAGTGGCACTGGGCAGGCCTTGCAGAATTGTGGATTTGCTTCTTGGTCAACATGTAAGGTGGCCACGGCCCTTTTGGTAGTCCTTAGACATTGCTGAATAATTTAATTAGGACCTCACTTAGGTCATCATTTTCTAATTGAAAAATGTTAAGCCAATCACGTTGAATGTTTCTCAACCAATTTCGCCCCATCAAGCTTGGGCCCGAGCCTTTTACTACAATCTGTGGTAACTGAACCAGCCCCTTCTCATAAGAGACTGGAACCGCAGTTAACCCTAAATCTGTAGGGGATTCCCAGTATAGGTTCTCAGCCTGGCCGAGGCCTTATGCAAACATGAGGGTTGGAGTCCAGAGTGAATTTCAGTAAACACAGGTTATGTCGTCACTGATACGGCTGTGCAGCTATCAACTTCCATTAGACTAGGTGACCATTTAACCAAATGTTTATTTTGATTTGGATGTTGCTAAGCAATTTAACTGTTCCAAACCAGCTGTAGGTGGACTTTCCAGGATGTGCGCTGTCCTGGATTATGGGACAATGAGTTCTCTTATTCAATTCAGGCTTAATGGGACACTCTTTCTGTCTTGAGTCCACATGATGCAGCAACTACAATGGCGTGCTGGCCCGTGACCATTTGGCTGAGGCTTGTCTTTGTTATGGGGTTTTGCTGTGGGCTGACCTAGAGTCCCCCTGCCTAATGTATGCCCTGATTGAGGCTGCGCAATTGCCTTCATTCAAGTGGTGTTTCTCAAGCTCATTCAGCCTGGTGATGATGTCCACTTCTGTCAGAATACCCTGTAACTCATAAGTTCCACTAGCTGCTTTTTCTAATGACAAAGCCAGTTGTAGTGCCTGTTTGAAATCAAGCTGGGCTGCAGCTAGTAGGCACTTCTGCATGGTCACATCATTAATCCCACATATCACTTCGGGTTAAACAAAAATCACACGCCTCTGCCAGTCTTGACCTACTCAAAAATCACGATACAGATTCCTGTGGTTCTCAAACTGCCGAGTAAAACCAATAGCATCCAGAATTAGAGAAGGTTTGGGGGTCATAATATCCCTTGGGTAAATCCATCAATTCTTGAAAAGGTTTTAGTATTAGGGAAAGTGAGGCTCCTAATAACCGAAAAGGCTGCAGGTCCACAAGCAGTCATGTGAATTACCCATTGCTTTTCATCTGCCCAATGTCATTTGTCCGGAAAGAATAATGCATTGTTTCTGGGCCCAGCCTTAGATATCAGGATTGAACAAGTCAGCCTTCCCAAACAGCAGCATGATGCCAGAAAAGGCAACTGTTGGCGAATGTCTTTAGTGGCGTGTTTTTCTCTCATCACCACTGAAATAATTCCATGAAGGCTGGTATCCCATCACCAAGTCACTGTTTATTTACATGTGTATAGCACATGACACTGACCCAGCTAGCTCCTAAAGTGAGCAGAATCCCTGACACTCCTGTTTATATCTGTCAGCCAATTCTCCCTGATTGGGCTTTTAGTCTGGCCCAGTCAGGGAACTCATTCATTGAGATCTACCTAGCTGACCTTTTCTAATCACGACAGTTTTAAGATCACTTTATTTGACCAACCTTTGTGTCATCTAATGTCTCTTTGCTTGACTCTTTTTATGTCTGACATTCACTGTAAAGCATGTATATAGTTTGCCAAATTTAGAAAAACTGCCTAAATGTAAATTGTTAAAACAGTGTAGCTCCTTATAGAACAGTCTTTGTCCTAGTTTCTAGGTTAAAGGGCCTGTTGTAGCCAAAAGTTCTAATCTATTGTTTCTCTTTGCAAATGTTCTCTTTACCACAGTTTGAATGGAGATAACTTTCACTAACCATGTTCAGTCAAAAAATTAATTATATGTTTAACAAGATTTTCAAAATTTATTGTTATCTCAAAAATTAAGTTGCACTAAATCATCAAATTAAAATTTAAATTAAAGTTAATTTGATAAATCTGTAATTATGCAGATACTTCAGCAAGTCTTGTATTTTATATTTGCCGTAACAAAGGTTGTAAAGGCAGAAAGTTATCTTAAAATTACAGACTGTGTCTTCCAGACAATGTTATGGAGGTGGAAATAGGGGATCCAGGTGAAAAGAGGCGGGAAGTTCATCTTGTGGCTGAATATAGTTTCAAAATTGTGAAATGTTGTACAGCCTCAGATAGTTGCCAATGAGAGAAATGCTGTAGAAGCAATTCTGTGGTGGACGCTCAAAACAATGGCTTCAGCTTTTCTAATGTTTAATTGGAGAAAATTTCTGCTTGCCCAGTATTGAATGTCACAGAGGGAGTCTGATAACTGAGCAATAGTGGAGAGGTTGAGAGAGATGTTGAGGTATAGATGGGTGCTATCGGACACATTAAAAAACTGACACTTTTAAGATGACATTGGTGATGAATGGTGTCTAGATGAAAAACAGCAGGGGGATAAGGATAGATACTTGGGGATACCAGAGATAATTGTCAGAGAGCAGAAGAGAAGCTAATAGAAGTGGTTCTTTGGCTGTAATTAGATAACAATCGAATCAAGTAATTGCTGTTCCATCCAGCTGGATGACTGTGGAGGATGGTGTGGTCAACCGGATCAAAGCTTGCAGACATGTCTAGAAGGATGAGGAGGAAAGGTTTATCTTTGTCACGATCACATAGAAAGTGCTCAATGGCCTCTCTCTGCACTGTTGGAATTCTATGATTCTTAGTGGAAAGGGAGGATGGAGATTTGGTGGTTTTGCAAGGATGGTATGGCCAAGGGGTTTTTCTTTCAGCAGAAATGTGATGACAGAGTTAGAAGTAAGTAAGTTAGGGCAGCACGGTAGCTTCAGTGATTAGCACTGCTGCCTCACAGTACCAGGGGCACAGGTTCAATTCCAGCCTTTGGTTACCATCTGTGAGGAATTTTTACATTCTCCACATGTCTGTGTGGGTTTCCACCTGGTGCTCTGGTTTCTTCCCACTGTCCAAAAGATGTGCAGGTTAGGTGGATTGGCCAACGCTAAATTGTCTGTACTGTCCAGGGATGTGGAGGTGAGGTGGATTAGCCATGGGAAATGCAGGGATAGGGTAGGGGAGTGAGCCTGGGTGGGATGTTCGTCAGAGAGTCAGTTTGGACTTGTGCCAAATGGCCTGTTTCCACACTGTAGGGATTATATGAAGAAGTACAATACCTGAAGAGAGAATCATTAACCTTATCAGCAAACATAGGGACCAGGAAGGGAAGTGGTATGCTCAGCAGTTTAGAGGGGAAAAGGTCAAAGGAGCAGAAGATGATGCTATGAGCATGATGAACTTGCTTCAAGAAGATGTTTTTATCTTGTAGAAAAAAGAAGGTTGAGTTTTGCTTTCTGCCAAAACCTCCTGGTTCCAGACTTTATTTCTGGAACAATGTTAGAACTGACAGAAAAGTGCACATGTTCATATAGAACTTTCAACAAATGAAAATGTTCCGGAAATTGTTGAAAGAGGTGAAGTTTGCTGTCCTCCACATAAAAATAAAATTCATATTGGCATTAAGGAGCCTAGACAAAAGCTGAAGCTGAGGGCAGAAGAAGTTAAAGTGAAAACTCTGATCCCGTACTTGACATGAGCCTGGTAGTTGGGGTTGTTAAAGGTTGGCCATATCAGCCACAGGACAGCTCTGTAGATGTTTTTTTCTTTAAACCTATTTTACCTAATCAGCCTGTTCAGAGATATTACTTACTTCTGGACCAGGTGGGACTTGAACCTGGGCCTCTTGGCCTAGGGGTAGGGACACTGCCACTGCGCCACAAGGGAGCCTTACACAGATCGCTGACCTCAAACTAAGTATTGTCAGCTGCATCTTCCCTCTGTCATCACACCAGATGTGGGCTGGTTGTAAGCTCTGGAATTCCCTTCTTAAACCTCTCTGATTCCTTGTCTTGCTTTCATTCTTTAAGATTCTCCTTTTATCTCTTTGATCAAGTCTTTAGCCAACTGCCATTGTATGTGCTAATTTGGTTCAGTGTCATATACCTTGCAATGCTTTCTTTTTAAATTTAAAAATACAATATAAATACAAATTGTTATTGTTATTCTACAGTGTTCCAATTCATTTACAACTTAACCAAAAATGAAGCAGTCCATACCAGCCTTCAACGTTATCTAATCCAGGCTAACACATGTCAGCTGTCTCACATCTACCCAGCCAGGCATATGACAAGATAACGCCCATGCAAACTTTCAATAGCAGTAACACAACCAACGCCCATAAACAATGTCCACAACAAATGGTCGGGCCCCAGGAACATTGCTGAACAAAGAGACCTCGGGGTGCAGGTGTATAGTTCTTTCAAAGTGGAGTCATAGGTAGACAGGGTGGTGAAGAAGGCGTTTGGTACACATGTCTTCGTTGGTCAGAACATTGAGTGGAGGAGTTGGTATGTCTAGAATGTGGCTGTACAAAACATTGGTGAGGCCACTTCTAGGATACTTCGTACAGGTAACAACATCCTTCTATAGGATGGATGTTATTAAACTTGAGAGGGTTCAGAAAAGATTTACAAGGATGTTGCCGGGACTGGAGTGTTTGAGTTATTGGGCGAGGCTGAATAGGCTGGGGCTTTTTTTTCTGAGAGCATCAGAGGCTGAGTGGGTGACCCGATAGAGGTTTAGAAAATCATGAGGGGCATGGATAGAGTGAATAGCTAAGATCTCTTTCCTGGGGTGGGACGTGCAAAATTAGAGGGCATAGGTTTAAGTTGAGAGGAGAAAGATTTGAAAAGCAACTGATGGTTAACTTTTTCATGCAGGGGGTGGTATGTGCGTGGAATGAGCTGCCAGATGAAGTGGTGGAGGCTGGTACAATTACAACATTTAAAAGGCATCTAGATGGGTATATGAATAGGAAGGGTTTAGAGGGATATGTGTCAATGCTGGCACATGGCACTAGGTCAGATTGGAATGTCTGGTCAGTGTGGATGAGTCGGATTGGACCAAAGGGTCTGTTTCATGCTGTATGATTCTATGACTATGACTGAACCAGCCATATCAATACCATGACTACAGGAGTAGAGTAGAAGCTGGGCTAGTGCTCCCTCAACTCCTCAAGTTTCTGCCACCCAGCAGATTCAAGTTTGCACTCTGACTCGTGGTTTGCATAGGTGGGTGCAGTTGGAACAACACTGCATTAGCTTAATTAGCACAAGGATGGAACATGTTGGTTTATTAGTGTACCAGGAATTATATTTTTTTTCTTAACTCCTGCAACACTAGTATACCCTGGTCATCATATGCACAATCAACAGGAGACTCTGCAGTGACTCATCAGAGTACTTTAACTGCAGTTTTCTTCCTTGTGACCCCTATCACCCAAAGTTACAAACATCAGTGTTATGGGAGTATGGAGGTCTCCAAGTCTTCATGCTGATGTGAACACATATTATTTATTCATCTTTCCTCAGTCCAAGTTGAATAATTTCCTGTACTAACACAATTTCTGAGCACTGTCAAAAGGAGAATGCCAACCATTACTTTGCTAAGAACAGATATAATTAAATTTGGAAAGTTGTTAGACAGCAACAAGATCATGTAATGTACCAGTCACAGTTAGAGCTGAGCTAACTGATAGACTGATGAATGGACTGCTCTGTAATGGACTCAGAATGTGCTGATGATTCTGCTTTCAGTGCCTGTTATGTTGAAATTATGTTTTTTATTGCAGAGTAGTTAGTTTTGCAGCATTTAATTTGAAGTCCCATCAGAATTATATGAACAGGTTCACTCCTGACATTGCCATGCTTACACCCCCAGTGGTTGTATTGTCTGGGCTTTAAAACGCGTGTCCTTTCTTCTTCTCCATGTTGAACAGGTATCATTGATGTCAGCATAAAAAATGTACAAGAGGTGATCCTTGCAGCGGATATGTTGCAGTTAACTGAGATTGTGAACATGTGCAGTAATTTTTTAAAAGGGCAAGTTGATCCCTCAAACTGTGTTGGAATTTATCAATTTGCTGAGCAAATCGCATGTCATGATCTCATGGAATTCAGTGAAAGCTACATTTATGTGCACTTCCTGGAGGTATGTAAAAATGAGGAATTTATTGGATTAGAAAAAGATCAACTTGTAAAGATATTAAAAAGTGAAGAACTCCACATTGAAGATGAATATCAAGTTTTCACAGCTGCTATGGAATGGGTGCTCAAAGACATGGGCAAAAGGAAAAAATATGTGATTGAAATTCTGGATCCTGTTCGATTTCCTCTGCTGTCTTCACGAAGATTATTCAAATACATTGAAGGTACGACAGAATTTAGAGTATTTCATGTTCTTCAGGACAAAGCAGCATGCTCATTGTTAACCCATGCACTACATTAGACATTCACTCCCTCCATCATAATGACATCTGTGTGTGCTGTTTAGAAAGTACACTGCAGCAATTCATCCAGGGTTTTTTTTTGCCGCACCTTCCAAACCTGTAACCTCTGCTATCTAGAGGATGAGGGCAGTAGTTGCATGGAGACACAACTATCTGCAAGTTCCCACCAACCTGACTTGGAATTGTACCATAGTTTCTGCATTGTATAAAATTTTGGAACTCCCTTCCTAATAGCACCATGGGTAAACTTACACCACATGGTCTGCAGTATTTCAAGAGGGTGACTTAACATTGCTTCCTTGAGTGAAGTCACAGATTTTTAAAAACAATTTGTGCTTATGAACATTACTGGTTTGGTGAGCTTCTGTTATCGAGCCCTAATTTCTCTTGAGAAAGTGATGACCATAAGGTATAGGAGCAGAATTAGGCTATTTGGCCCATCGAGTCTGGTCCACCATTCAATCACCCTGATATGGTTCTCAACCCCATTCTCCTTCTGCCTTCCTGTAACCCTTGATCCCCTGACCAATCAAGAACCTATCTATCTCTGTCTCAAATAGACTCAAGGATACTCCACAGTCCTCTGTGGCTATGTGTTCCACAAAGATCTGTCTCATGATTACATTTTTAATATAAAAGATAGGTATTAAATTATCATAGAGCAGTGGTTTTGAGCAGTAAGACTGCTAATGCTGAGTTTTTGGGAAAAGGTGTTGTGATTGTTTTCTTGGGTATATTTTGGATCTGTAGATTAAGGTGCAGAGTGGTGTGTGCTTCCGGTCGGATATGGGAGATTAGGAAGAATTTCAGTATTCCTGGAGATTATGTCTGCAGGAAGTGTGTTTGGATGCAAATCTTGTCGGATCGCATGGATCAGTTGGAGCAGCAGTTAGAAGCAATGAGGAATTTCTAGGAGCCGGGGGTGTAATATATGGCAGTTTCAGGAAGGTAGAAAAACCGCAGATACAGTCAGGTGGATGGGTTACCGCCAGGAAACGTAGGCAGCTAGTGCGGGAACTTACTGTGGCTATCCCCATCTCAAACAGCTGTTTGAATAATGTTGGGGGTGATGGCCTCTCAGGGAATATGACAGCCAGGTTTCTGGTACCAAGACTCACTCTACTGTTTTTTTGGCGGGGGTGGGGGGGATTATGTCAATTTGCAAGCAATTGATTGTGATGGGGGACTGTCTAGTCAGGGGCACAGATAGATATTTATGCAGCAAGAACTACTCAGGAGGCTTTAAAACGTTGAAGCAGGGAGACTCAAAGAGAGCGTGAGGAAAAAAATATGTCTGAGGCTGGTACCGTAATGAAGAGGAGCAAGTTAAATAGAGCAAGGCAGAGAACAAGTAACACTGATAAATTAAACAACATTTATTTCAATGCAAGAGCCTGACAGTTAAGGCAGATGATCTTAGGGGAATGGTTAGGAACATGGGACTGGAATATCATAGCTATTGCAGAAACGTAGCTCAGGAAAGAGCAGCTTAATGTTCCAGGGTATAGATGCTTTGGGAAGGATAGAAGGGTGGGGGGTTCAAGACAGGAGGGGGAGTTGTGTTTTTGGTTTAAGGGCTTGGATGGAGAGGAATTTGTTAGGTATGTACAAGAAACTTTTCTTATTCAGAATGTGGATGTACATGATAGAGAAGGAGCAAAACTTGACCTAAGCTTGGGAAAGAAGGCAGGGCCAGTGACTGAGGTATCAGTGGGGGAGTACTTTAGGGCCAATGATCATAATTCTGTTATTTTTAAAATAGTTATGGAAGAGGATAGACCTGATCTAAAAGTTAATATTCTAAATTGTACGAAGGCCAATTTTGACAGTATTAGGCAAGACCTTTCAGAAGTTATTTGGGAGAGGCTATTCGCAGCTAAAGGGACAGGAGGAAAGTGAGAGGCCTTTAAAAATAAGATTATGAGAGTTCAGACACACTATGTTCCTGTTAGTGTGAAGGGCATGGCTGGTATGTATAGGGAATGCTGGATGACTAGAGAACTTGAGGCTCTGGACAAGAAGAAGGAAGAGGCATGTGTTAGGTATAGACAGTTGGGATCGAGTGAATCCCTAGAGGAGTATAAGGGCAGTATGAGTATACTTAAGAGGGAAATCAGGACAGCAAAAAGGGACATCAGATATCTATGGCAAATAGAGTTAAGCAAAATCCAAAGAGATTCTACAAATACATTAAGGGAAAAGGAGTAACTAGGGAGAAAGTAGGGCCCCTTAAAGATCAAAAGGCGCTCATGTGTGGAACCACAGGAGATGGGTGAGATACTAAATGAGTATTTCACGTCCATATTTACTGTGAAGAAGGATGTTGAAGCTAGAGAACTTGGGGAAATAAATAGTGATATCTTGAAAAATGTCCATATTACAGAGGAGGAGGTGCTAGATGTGTCAAAATGCATAATGGTGGATAAATCCCGAGGACCTGATCGGGTGTATCGCAGAACTTTGCAGGAAGCTAGGGAAGTGATTGGTGGGCCCCTTGCTGGGAAAATTTGTATCATCGACAGCCACGTTTGAGGTGCTCGCAGACGGGAGGTTGGCTGATGTGATGGAATTACTTAAAGGTGGTAAGGAAAAGATAGGGAACTCTGGAGCAGTGGTGGGTAAGTTGTTGGAGGGGATTCTGAGGAATAGGATTTACATGCATTTGGAAAGGCAAGGACTGATTAGAGAGCATCAACATGACTTTGTGCTTGGGAAATCACGCCTCACTAACGTGATTGAGTTTTTTTGAAGAAGTGACGGAAGAAGATTGGTGAAGGCTGAGCAGTGGATGTTGTCTATATGGACTTTGGCAAGGTGTTTGACGAGGTTCCTCATGGTAGACTGGTTAGTAAGGTTAGATCACACACAATGCATGGAAGAACTAGCCATTTGGATACAAAATTGACTCAAAGGTAGGAGACGTAGGGTAATAGTGGAGGGTTGTTTTCGAACTGGAGGCCAGTGACCAGTGATGTGCCACGAAGATGGGTGCTGGGTCCACTGCTTTCCATCATTTATATAAATAATTTGGACGTGAATATAGGAGGTATGTTTAGTAAGTTTGCAAATGACAGTGAAGAAAGTTAGCTCAGAGTACAATGGTACCTTGACCAGATGGACGAATGGGCCAAGGATTGACAAATGGAGTTTAATGTATAGATAAATGTGTGGTGTTGCGTTCTGGTATCAGGGCAGGATTTGTACAATTAATGGTACAGCTCTGGGGAATGTTGCTGATCAAAGGGAACTAGGGTTGCAAGTGCATAGTTCCTTGAAAGTGGAGTTGCAGGTAAACAGGGTGATAAACAAGGTGTTTGACATGCTTGCCACCATTGGTCAGCGCATTGAATATAGCAGTTGGGAAGTCATGTTCTGACTGTAAAGAACGTTGGTGAGGCCGCTTCTAGAATACTGCGTTCAGGCTACTTATTTTTAGAATACTGCATTCAATTCAGGTCTCCCTGCTATAGGAAAGATGTTGTTAAACTTGAAAGGGTTCAGAAAAGATTCACAAAGTGTTGCTGGAGTTAGAGGGTTTGAACTACAGGGAGAGGAGCTTTTTTTCCCTTGGCACGTCAGAAGCTGAGGGGTGACCTTACAGAGATTTATAAAAACATGAGGGACATGGATAGGATGAATAGCCAAAGTCTTTTTCCCAGGGTGGGGGAGTCCACAAATAGAGGGCATAGGTTTAGGGGAAAGATTTAATAGGGACCTGAGGGGCACCTTTCTCATGCCGAGGATGGTGCATGTATGGAACAAGCTGCCAGAATAAGTGGTGGCGGCTGGTACAATTACAATATTTAAAGGGCATCTGGATGGGTACATGAATAGGAAGAGTTTAGAAGGATATGGGCCAAATGCTGGCAAATTGGACTGGATCAATTTAGGAAATCTGATTGGCATGGTCGAATTGGAGTAAAGGGTCTGTTTCCATGCTGTATAACTCTGCAACTCGCCATCCTCTGGCTGAAGAAATTCCTGGTGAGTCATCTTCTTGAATCACTGCATTTATTGTGATACAGGTAGGTCCCAAAGTGTTTTAGGATGGGATGTTCATCTCATAAACAGTTTTTTTAAGAAGGTGCATTTACCAGCAGAGCAAAATTTGGCTGTAGCTAATTGGTTTCAATTCCATGTTATTATTACTTATGTTAAATTTCAAGAAATTGTTTCCTGCTTCAGGTCCCAAATTACCTCGAGAAAGGTTGGTCAGCTGCCTGGTTCTCATTTCAAAGCACAGTGTTTTGGGTCATCTTGTCTTTCAATCATTTTCTCTCATCCTGCCATTTACAAATAGAAACTGAATTTGCATAACACAGCGTCACTGTTATTGGAAAAAAATTTCAATTATTGGTTGACACATGATTGGCATCAAACAATCCATGCCATGTACCATCATATCATTAAAGACTACCCGTACGAATATAAGGATCCACATACGCTTTGTTCTGTCTTGTAGTTGTTGAAGAATCTGCATCATATTATACTGCCATGGCTCAACCTAATTAAATGCCCCACAGTAGTGAAACCTTGTAAACAAGGGATCTGAAACCTCACATTCAGATCTATATCATCTAACCCTATTCAGTGAACTCTCCATCTATCATAAGGCAATAAAATCTCAATTCCCAAAACAGCCTGATACCAACCTACATAGTTGTTCCCAATATAAATGTTTAGTTTGTATTATTGATGGCTGTGATGCTTTATATTTTGTGCGATAGCATATTACATATGTTGTAAGATTTGGGCTTAACTTTAATTGGAAGAACTAAGTCAATTGCAATTAAAGACTGAGTCGAGAGAGCCAATCTAAAAGCATACTAGTCCTGATTAGTTGTGAGACCCATTCCAGCTACAAATATATTTTTTAGGTTTTACAGATTTTATTAAGTTTATTCTAGTACAGACAAAATAAA